TTTTAAAACTTGGTTCTTTGTTAAGTAGAATGCCCATAAATTGAGCATACTTGACCTAATATGCCGAACTAGACAAACATACACTCTCGCGGAAAGTGTGGAGTTTTTAATTACACTCCTAGACACAAGTGTGGAGTTTATAAGCACACTTTTGTGTTAATAAACTTTTTCTAATTCGACTTCAGAACAAAAGTGTGGAGTTATTTACACAAAATTGTGCAAAATAACTCCACACTTTTGTCTAGGAGTGAAAACTACACACCGGTGTGGAGGAAAACTCCACACTTTCCGCGAGTGTGTAGACTTAATGAACATAGATTTGACAAATGTCTATTATAACTTATTTTATTCGATTAAAATATCCAAAAGTGAAGCGCAAATTTTAAGATTTAAAAAATTTTAAAAATATAGTGTGTTTGCTTTTAGCTGTATTCCGAGAGAATTTTTAAGCTTTACGTCGTTAAGGTCGTTAAGTTCCGATTGATTGCGGTCCCCATTCATAATGATAAAATTGTCGTAGAGTGTTAAAAAATGTTAGAGTGGTAACAATAAACTTGAGTGTCAAAAAAGTTATAAACTAGTTAATAAGCAAATATTGTTTATAAAAATAATAAGAAATTAAAACCTTACAACAGATCTTTGAAAAATACTCAAGTAATGTTTTCTAAATGAATGCAAGGTTTGCTACAAAATACATCTTTTGATATAAAAACTAATTTTTGTTGTTGATTTTTTCACTCAATATTTTTTTTGTTTGTTGGTTTAATGTACTTCAAGAGTTCAAATGACTCATTTAATGAATCAATTTTTTTTTATGCTAAGAATTTCTACTTTTTATTTTTATTTTAGACCCAGGTTTCTAATGATTAGAAAAATAAATTATAAGGTAATATGCATAAGCTAATACGCTTTTTAACATTGATTTAAATTTTCAAAAGTTTTAGACATGTTTCTCTCTTAATATCGTTGGTTATGATGTCTTAACTATTTTTCTATTATTATTCTTGAACTATTATTCAAAAGAACTGCTTTGTTTACAAGAAACTATTGGTTTAAGTTTTCCGGTAAAATTTGTTCCAAAATTAACCGGAAAATATTTTGGTAAATTTTCCGCCTAATAATACCTTTGTTATTAGTTGTAAGTTTTCCGGTAAAATGTGATTCAAAATTTTTGATACATTTTACCTTCATAATACTACAAGAAACAAGGAAACTTTGTTATGTTTGCTTTGTTAGTCATTTCCGTAATTATTGTTAAATATTTAAAATTTAAATAATTTAAAACCTAAATTTTAGGCTAAGTATGATCAATTCTTTAAATAATCATAGTTTCATTTATTCAGAATATTTTTAAATATATTATGCTATACTTGAAGCTTGCCGTTATACACAAGCTTGCCGTTGCTTGAGAGAAGTGTTTGTTTATGTAAATGTTGAGATATTTATTTTTCTTATTTTTAAATGTTTAATTTAACTTTATATTTAAGCAATTTCAAAACTATGGTTTAGGATTGCACTATTTTTATTTAGTTCTAAAAAATGTGCCCTTTCAACATTACTCTTTGATTCCTAATTTTTTTAAAGATAAATTCTGAATCATTTTTTCAGCTTCGTCTCACTTTTCGCTCATATTTTGCCTAATTCTCTCAATACTTAAGCTATTAAGCCTTATTCTGTCTTCTGCAGAGATGCAAAGTGCTATTAATTTTTACGGATTCCAGCACTCTGGAATCTGGCATCAAAAAAAAGGAACTCCTCGGACTCCCGACATCAAACTTTTTATTCAATTTTTTTAGTCAAACTAACCGGAGTTTTTAGGGATAAAATCGTTCATGAAATACTAGAGTAGACTATATAAATTTTCAATTATGCTGTAAAAAATTAAAATTTATTTTTGATTTAACTTCTTTGCTCAGTTTTTTAGGTTAAAAATAATTCTAGTAGTATACTTTATATAAAAAAAATTGTTAACTTTTTGAAAATAGTTCAAATGCCGAAGGGCTTGCCATACGTAGCGTTAATCAATGAGTTTGTTCTTTTAATGTTTTAAAGTTTTAAAGTTTAATGTTGGCTAAACAAATATAGTTTAGTAACTTAAAGAAGTAAATAATGGTTTGCTAGATAACGTTGATATGCTGTGATAAAGTTAAAAGAATCCCGGAGTCCTGGACTCCTAACAATATTCATTAAGGAATTGGGACTCCGGTCTCCAGGTAAATACAGGGACTCCGGACTCCTACTTCACATCCCTAGTCTTCTGAGATTAAGCATTAGTTGATTAAAGTTTCAATATAAATTGAGCTTTTGACCATAGGTTATTTTTTTTTCCCTGTATAATTAAATGTTTGTGAAAATTTCAACTTATTTTTAAGTCTATATAAGTTATATACCACAATCCAATGGTTTAATTTTACGTTAAACATATTTTTTTTTATTTTTGAAAAGTTCGTACTATTTTTAAAAAAGTTATCGGAACCTTATTTTATAATATCAAAAAGTAAACAATGCGTCAATTTCTTGTGGGATGTTTGATATTTGGTCACTCTAGATTTGCGGAATAGAACTAACGAAGGCCGTTCTTAGCTATAACACTCCACGGTGGGAAATGAGCTAGCAACTAACTAGCGAATGGCTAGCTAGACGCTACATATAAGTAAAATACGCGTTTTAGACGTATCAAATACGTTGTAATGCGTGTTTGAGACATTTTAAACACGTCTTGTGTAACCTTGCTATCTTTTTCCTACCGGGTTATATCACTTACATATAAAAAGATTAAGCCATACATGGTCAATATAATTCCATTAAATAAATTTACAGTGGAAGCATTTCTTACTGCATTTACCTTACATTAAATTTTCTTGTCAGGTTAACTTTCATGAAGTAATTTTATATAAAAGTGGGATTTTAGTTTAGTATTTAATTGGAAAGAAATTATATTTGCTATATAATGAAGAGTAAAAAAAAAAAAAAAAAAAAAAAAAAAAAAGTTTAACACAATTCGAAAATACTAAAGGATTAAAATAATACTAAAAAATAAAATTTGCAATTTAAATCAGAATAATATAAAACTATTAAAAAAGCAACATATAAGTAGTGTATTGATATAAATGTATAACACAATAATGATGAGTAACAAAACAATGATTTTTTAAAAAACATTTTACTCCGAATACGACCCTAACTTTTCTATCGTTGAAAAGATTATAATTATGAACAACCCTTGGATAACCAAGGGATTTAAAAATGATAAAAATAAATTAGAAGCTATATATACATATAATATATAGGTATTGTCAGAGCCGGCATAGAAAATTAGAGCCCCAGTGCAAAAATGTTTATAAGGGCCCTTTTTTGCATAAACTGCTATTAGCATATAGCCTGGTTGCTATTTATAAAAATTAATTATTAGAAAAACTTAGCTAAATTTGAAATACCAAGGCTTTATTCTTGCAAAAATTAAATATTTTTAATTGAAACGAACTTTTTGAACTTTTTGAAGCAAAATTATCTATCAAAAAAATTAAATTAAATTCCTCGGAACAATGCTGCGTTTTGCAGTAACCACAGATACTGGATTTGTTACTGTTGTTCTAAAAACAACATAGACATTCAAATGGATTTAGCCAAATAAGATTGTGCAAGTATGTTCTTAAAAATTTTTGTCTCAGAGATTAGCAAGAATTGTACGGTTGCTTCAACAATATTGGTTGCTACGGAAATATTCATCTCAGGTTTCTTCAAAACTTTGTTCAGTTCCAATTGCAATTCATACCAAATCTCAAAAGACAATGAACGTAGACGGAGAAATGTCGGCGGCTAAGCTCAGTATTTTAGAAACTTTTATTGTCTCTTATTATTTATACAAATTACATTGGGTTTTAGCGATGGGAAATAACATTCTACATTTATTTCTTCAAATAATAAAAAGAGGTTTGTTCTAAAGATTGAAAAAAGATTGAAGAATTGGAATAACTGTAAAATAATTAAATTGGAATAATTGTAATAAGAATGCCTTAAGTAAAAGATATATGACTCGAGTGAAGTATGAAGTGAAAATTAGTTTTTTAATGTATTAGGATTTTTATATTTATTTAATGTTTAATTAAACCCTAAAAATAAAAAGTACAGAAAATGGAATTATCTTTAAAAGTTTATTTTAACTTAATGTTATCTATTAGGAGTTTTTATTTTCTGTTTTTAAAAAAACATAAATATTTTATACCGGGCGACAGGAAAAACTCATTAAGTAACGAAAAAGGAGTAATGTAAATAATTTGTAATTTGATTGTTTTTTTGTTTTTTTGTCTAAATTTCATTTTTGGAATAAAATGGACGTTCTGTAACCTGTTTCAATGAATTTAATGTAAAAAAACAGTTTCTCTATTTTTTGTATTTAATAAAATTTTGTCGCCAAAAATATATGAATGTTTTTGTAACTTTAAGGTCCCAATTCAACGTCTCGTTTATGGCGTCACACTTATAATAAAATGACAATTAAAATGTGTAACATCTTTTAATCTGAAGGTGTGTTTGATATATGCATCATTATATATATATATATATATATATATATATATATATATATATATATATATATATATATATATATATATATATATATATATATATATATATATATATATATATGATATATATATATATATATATATATATATATATATATATATATATATATATATATATATATATATATATATATATATATATATATATATATATGTATATATATATATATATATATATATATATATATATATATGTATATATATATATATATATATATATATATATATATATATATATATATATATATATATATATATATATATATATATATATATATATATATATATATATATATACATACATAAATGCCTATGAAAATGGTTCAAAATATATGATGAGACAAAATGCTGAATTCTTTTATTTAGCTATTGATGTAAACACTAAAAAAAAAAAATAATGTAAATTTTTACCTTGTGTGATGATGTTTTTAATATCAATGGGTTAGTCATATCATTTGATAACTTTAGTGGAAATCTTGTAATTCTTGTATTTTTATCTTGAGTTAAGGTATGTGTAAAAAAACAGTGAAGTGAACTTGAACCGTAGCAGATCTCAAATTTAAATGAACACTCAGAAGCAGGTAAAACTTTACATGGTATTCCGTTAAAATCTCGGTTTTTTGAACAGCGGGTGTCAAATGTTTCCAAATTAATCTTTACAAGCACTGAGGATTCTAAAAACTAATAATAAATTCATTTTAAATTGTATTCAAAACATAAAAAATCTTTTTAATTAAAAACTTTCAAAATAAAAATGCTGTTACGCAGAAATAGAAGATGAAAGGGCTGGCAATAATAGAATGCAGGACCTTTTAGTTTCCATAAGGGGGAAAAGTACATGTGGAAAGGTTAGACTCCTTCCGTCTTTGCAACTGAGTAAAAAAATTAATTTAAACTTTAATTATTATAAACTTAAATTAATTTAAATTTGCACACCGTGTAAAAAAAAAGTGGCTGAAACAAAGAACTTAAACTTTTATATTTTTGATACAAAAAAATAAACTTACTCTAGCCAAAAGTTCACTTAAGTGCATCTCGATAATTTGTTGTATTTAACTGGCCCTACGGGTATTTGTTTTTAAAAGTTACGTTCTTAATGTCTTTTAAACGTTTTTAAAACGCCTTATAAACGTTTTTTATGTAAGAATGTTTAAAAGACGTTTAAAATACATTTAGAACGTAACTTTTATAAACAAATGCCCGCTGGGAAATCCAAATCAGTAAGTGACGCGGCATAAATTTATCAAACGTATTCAAATTTAAAACTAAATCCTATTGTTGCAACAATAGCTAGTAAAATACACAGCAGACAAAAATACACTTTTTGTGTATTTTATTTATAGTTTTTATTAACATAAAGACTGTAAATAATTTCACGGTAAAAATTAATGTTTCTTTTATTTCTAAAATTTAAAAACTATTGCTCAACCTTATATAGGGTTTCTATAAATAAAAAGATTGCATCCTGTATTTTCTTTTAGTCCTAATATATATATATATATATATATATATATATATATATATATATATATATATATATATATATATATATATATATATATATATATATATATATATATATATATATATATATATATATATATATATATAAACACAATATTCTGATACGATACGTACCTGTAAAGTTTGACAAAGGTATAAAATAACTATAAAAATCATTTTTCAAGTTCTTTTATATTTACTAGTTGTTGTTGATAACTACGACAAACTTAAGCAAGTATGATTTATGAAGAGCATTAAATAGATATTTTATATGTAAATGTTTTTTTAGCTTCGATAACGTATTAAACACCTGCAACCTGAGTAAATTTTTTTTGTCTTAAAAAAAAAAAAGTGTCGTCTGTTAAAAAAAAAAATGTTTAAGGTTAAAAGAAACTGTTGTCAGTTATAATAAATTATTGATGGTAATTTAAATTTTTTTTAATTGAAACTTTTTTTCTTGATTTAGGTTTAAGTTCATTAACATATCTCTATTGTGCAATCAAAAATATTATGCCTAAAGCTTGCTTCGAACCCTTGATCTCTTGCTTCTAAAGCAATGACTCTAACCAATGCGCCGCAGCTGCAATCAATATCCAATATGGATTCCAAACACATGGTGAACTCGTCTAAAATACACCTAGATTCCTGTCTTATATAAATGCTAAAAAGAATTTCATCTTATAAATAGATAAAACTAACTAAATTCATAAAAAAATAACATATAAAAGATATACTGTTTTACAGACATAAAAGATGTCTGTATATATATATATATAAATATATATGTGTATATATATATATATATATATATATATATATATATATATATATATATATATATATATATATATATATATATATATATGTATATATATATATATATATATATATATATATATATGTATATATATATATATATATATATATATATATATATATATATATATATATATATATATATATATATATATATATATATATATATATATATATATATATATATATATGTTTAGATAAGGAGCAAACTTCAAACATTTATGTTTATACATATTTCAAATAAAAATACTATGCAAAATATTGCAATGATTGAAGCCTGGGAACAAAGAACCCCTAGAACTTAATAACTTTAACAACAAGTTTGTAAAATATTTTTTTGCTATTTGTAGCTATATTTATATTCATTAATAAATTTTAAAAGTCATACAATGATCTCTTTGTGTTTACAAATTGCGGCCTTAAAATTTAGAGCTTTTTTGTTCCTAGACTCCAATTATCTCAATTTTCAGCAAAGAATTCTTAATTGACATAAGTATAAATATATAAATGCTTATAGTTTGCTCTATGTCTGGAAATTACATCCGCTTCTGTAATAGAACACACTATTAATTTATTTTATATAGTTACTTAACAATTTCTCACTTATTTATTAAATAAAATATAACTACGTATCTATTCTTTATATAAAAATGAGAAACATACGTAAATTAATAACTTGAAAAACAATTAAACAATTTATTTCAGTCACCGCTTTAAATACTTCTACTGAACTTATACTAGTTGCAATGCTTATAAGACCTAAAGATTATTTTGCGAGTTATTTACAACATACGAAACAAATAAGTTTATTTAAAATTTTATTAACGATATTATAACGTTAAACCAGGCAAATCTTATGCTGTGCTTTCATATAACGTTGAAAACATTAAACATTGATAAAGCAAGAGAACTGCAGGTAAAATACACTAAAAGCAGCCTCAAAACTCCTGATATCTATTTTTTTATACTTTACGACCATATTCTTTATGCAGTTGTTTGCAGTTGTAGTTTAGCTTTTCATTACTTCCAGTTACTTTAAGAGGACTCTTGGAACCCTATATCAACTCACAAGACAGTAATTTATCTATGCTTTCGTTCAGGATAGATCAACCACCAAAGTCTGCACAATCTGTTGTTAAACATGATCGAGTTTTTTTGTTTTTTGTTTTGCGTAGCGTTTAAATCAAGTTTTTTTTTTTTTTTAAATCATTTCATTCTTCTGGTCTTTAGATAAATGAAAGATACACGTTTGGCGATGTGTTCTTTTTTATCAAAAAATGTTGACAATATTTTTTATTTCACTTCGTCATCTTTGTAAACAGTTTATCATTTAATCTTTTTGAATTTTTTATTTCTATTAATTGTATTTTATAACTTGTATGGCTATAGTTAACACGTTTAATTTAAAACTGTCTCATTCTATAATTAAGTGTATTTTTACTTTAAATGCTTGTAACTTAAAAACTAAATAAAACTTGAAAATAAATTTATGCTTGTAAAACCTTGTAAGTTTCTTACTAAACATATATCAAAGATCTGTCTTATATTTAAGATTTAGCCATGGATTTTTGATGGTAAAATATTTTTTGAGTTATCAGTATAATATATTGGTAACTCATAAAAAAATTCTTATTCCACCATTTATTTTTTTAACTCAATATCATATTTTTCTTGCCCCCTGGTAAATGCAAATTAAAATCAGTTTTGCTTTATTTAAAATTTACTCAAATCAAATAAATGTTTGTATGGAATCCCAAATAGTTTAAAATTAGTGGAAACTGTTTTACCTTTGAGCAGGGTGTTTGAATGAGAAAAATATAACTTTTTATAGACAGATTTTTTTATAAGCTTAACAAAAACTAGTGTTGATTATAAAATAAATTAATAATTGCAGTATTTATAACGTGTAGTGTGTGCTTTAGCGTTCCTTGCGTATTATAGTGTATGCATTTTATGTTGCCATGATTTTTGACATTTTTTAGTATGTAATACATTATTATTAAAAATGTATGTATAAAAGTATTAATATATTAACAATGCCAATTTTATATTAATTGTAAAATATACCAGAAGTATCTTAGCGCACTTTTATTTCTGAGGTTCCGGTAGGGCTCTTAAAATATTTTTTTTATAACGAATGTAACTTAACCATGTAGTTTGAATCAATATTCCTTTTGACTACACTTTAATTCTTATTTTAAAAATGTCCCATTATGTTGCAGTAATGTTGTTAAACTGAAATTTAAAGAGAGATAGGTTCAAGTGATTATTATTTTATCTTAAATATTATGATAACTAGTGTTACCAACCGTATATCAAAAATTTTATACAAACAACTTTATGTTTTGTCTGGTGATTCTGTTTTATTTTTATTATTGGGTATTTTCTTAAATCCATTAAATATTTATACATAACAAAATTAAAAAATATATTATGAAAAAAAAAGTTATAAAATACTGGAGCAACTATTTAGATTTATCAAATAACCAAATAACTTTTTTTTATTTAAACTGGAATTAATATAAAAATATTTGGATATAATACGAGACCGGGAGCTCTGTTATTGTCTGGAAACTCCAGTTGCTTTTTTTTTCATTGTTTGCTAAGATATTTCCTAATTTATATACGTTGTTAACATAAAAACTTTGTTTTATTCCTGTTTGTTAAAAAAAAATAACATCGTTAATTGAGTTAAACTGCCATAATTTCTGTTTGCTGGAAACAATATTTGTTTTCTTACTGTTTTAGAAAAAAAACAATTTTAACAAAATACAAGATCCATTTGTCAATATGTTACATGCTTAAAAATGTTATATGTTTACTTTCTAAATTGCTGTAAAATGATATCGATAAAGTAAAAATTAAAAAAAAAAATCACTTTGTATAATTTAAAAGTAATAATAATTGTTATTATTTTAAAAAAGCTAAAAAAGAATGAGAATTATAGTTTTATGTCTTTTTCAAGTTATACAGGCATGTTTATTGACATAACTTATTTATGTATTTTTATGTTATTTGTTATTTTTATGTCATGTTATGTTATTTTTTTTTTTTGTTATGGTTTGTTAGAATAATAAAAATCAATAATTTTTAGTTTTCTGAATCCTCGTTTAAAGTAAAGATCTATCTTGAATCATTTAATACAATTGGATCACTTGGCCGCGATTATAATAGAGATTGTTGTAAAAAATTTTTTTGCGATGTAATGTGTTCATTTCAATTTGAAATATGTTTTGGTACAAGTTCACTATACTGCTTTAATTCGAGCACATTCGATGAAGATGTAAAAACGAGAACTACTAGTTTTAAATTCGATTTATCGAGTAACATGACGAACTCATTGGTTCTTAAATCGTCATCAATAAAGGTAAAACTATTTTTAGAATAAACCATGAAAAACTGTATAAAACTTAGCCCCTTCGTACACGGGCACATAGAATGTGTTAAAAAAAATTTTTTTTTTGATAAAAAAAAATGTACTTGACCTCCTTATGGGGTATTTAAAATTTTATTAAAATAATAATTTTATTAAATTATAAAATAGGACTGGTAAGCACAAATGTACGCACCGTGTTTCAATTGATGTTTTGCTTAAGTTTTATAGTGAACAATGAACAAAATGAATTGTGTACGTTTGTACACATGGTGTACAAAGGGGTTATAAGACCATTAGACTAATGTCAACTTAGTTTTACACGTCAATAATAATAAAAAAAGTTGATAGCAGGGAAGTTCAAGACCACAAGATTGTAATCTGAAATCAAAAGCAAAAAATTCAATAGCATAATATATATATATATATATATATATATATATATATATATATATATATATATATATATATATATATATATATATATATATATATTAATATTGATATAAATACATTGACTAAATGATAAGTGATTTCTAAAGCATATATATTTTCTAACTTTTCATTTTATATTTTATTTTACGAGCTTCTGCATTTTAAAATAAAACATTTTCCAAATATGAGTTCAAGATTTTAAAAGCATTAGTTTTTACACAATTCCGAACTTAAATAAACAGAAAAGTGATTGAAACATCGAACAATGCTAAAAAGTGTTCCTAATTTTACATGTCTTAAAAACGAAACGAATTATACTACCACAGCAAACAGTTCAGGAGTCTTTAGTCATAGCATGCCATGACATGAGCAATCAGCTGACAGGTGACAGCACACATGCAGAATTTCGTTGACAAGTGCCATTTTGCAGCGGACAAAACAAGTGCAACTTTTTTGGTTTCATTTTCTTAAGTCTGGTCCGTGTCAACATCACGGAAGTTTTTTAATAATTAAAGGAAGTATCCAGAAGTTTCCAGAAGCATGCAGAAGCTTCCAGAAGTTTCCAGAAGAAGCATCTGGAAACATCCAGAAGTATCCATTTCAGAAGCATCCAGACGCATCCAGAAGCTTCAAGAAGTATCGAAAAGAAGCTAGAATCTTCCAGAACAGGTTCACACCGGTTCATTTCATTATATAAGAGACATATAAACCGACATGTAATTCAGTCAGTATATGGAAGTCAATCACTCAGTATTATCAAGACAGTTTAGTGAGTTTTATCAAAGTGTTTTATTGAAGAACATCAATACAAGAAGTAAAATGCAACAAGTGTTTAATTACATCAATACAGTCCACATCCAACCAAGACGTTGTGTTCCAAAGAGCATTATTGTATCATAAAAGGGTAAATGTAACACGGTAATCCTTGAGAAGCGTGATTATTTATTTTTATTATTTTTATAAATTCAAGTGCAAAAATGGCTCGCGACAGTCTTCGATTGGAACTAAGAAAGAAAATTATTGGCGATTACGTAAGTGGAATGTCATAAAAAAGTATTTGTTCCAAATATTGTTCTACGTGAAAATAGGCAGCAGATAACAAAAGTGGAAGACCGCGTTCCGCCACTTCTAAAGAGGATTCTAAGATCGTCAGATCTGTCAAGAAGGATACTTGGATATCATTAGTCGAGATACAAAAGCAGTTAAGGTGAGTTTCCACTCATCCGTTTTTTCACGGGAACGGGATAGGAAAGGGAAAAATAATCACGCGAGCATGCGTAGTTTTCCTTCAGACATATTAAAACTTATACTACGCATGCCCACGTGATTATTTTTCCCGTCCCTTTCCCGTTCCCGTGAAAAAACGGATGAGTGGAAACTCGCCTTTAGAGCTGCCAGTATCGGACCGAACAATCAAACAACGCACAGTGACTCAAAACAACAAAAAATGGCAATAAACCCCTCACCACTTTTTTATAAATTAAGTGCCCTTTGTTAGATAATATTAAAAGACAATGATTTTTTATTTCAAAAGTAAAAATAATTTTTTCATAATGCTTTTATTTTGTATTTTATAGGTAAAAGAAGTGAAAAAATTTGATATTATTTTTAAAGAAATCTGAAAAATGTGAGGTTTTTATTCAACTAAATTAGAGAACTTGAAGTTTAAATAAAAGTGTATATTTATTTTTAAAATAATATGACTCATATATTTCATATATTATATTTAAATTGACTCATATATTTCAAATATACTAAAAAGAAAAAAAAAGTCTGATTTTTTCGTTTAAATTTAAAGACTTCTCTAAAAAAAAGTAAAAAATAATTGTATTTTTTTTGTTTATATATCAGCTAAAAAAATGTTCCACCGAGTTCCACAAATATATATTTTCTAGTTAATTAACATTTCTACTTTAGGAATGTAAAAGAATTACTGCGGTCTCCTTCGGTATTTGAAGTTATTAAAGAAAAACAAATGTTGATGATTTTATAAAAACCTTGTTTTCCGCCATTTTGCTAAGAACTTTATTATATCAAAACAAATGAAATTGGCGGGAAACTTAAAGTTAAGTTTTCTAATATAGTTTTTAAATCATAAATATTAAATATAGTTTTAAAAAACGTGCTTTTGTCATTATATACTATTTAAAAGTTTGTTAAAATATTTATTGACAATTGTTCTTGGAGAGAGAAGCAAAAGAGAAAAAAATAAAAGAACTAGCCACTGAACATCATAAAGCTCTATTTTTAGCTTCTGCAAAAAGTGCAAATGCTGCTGTAGAAAAAAAAGCCTCTGTTATAAAAAACAATATATCTAATATTTTAGAGATAGAAAAAGAATGTTTTAGAGATAGAGTGAAGAGGATGCTCTTGCATTAAAAATGAATACTGATCTCAGCAATAAACAAAATCAAATGATCAGAAACTCAGCTCTTGTACTCAACATACAAATTTCTTGCACAATATTTTTGTGGAAAAATTGAAATGCTATCCTGAGAATATACATTTTTCTGAAATTTCTGCAAAGTGTAATCTTCAAAGCATGTTAGATTACACTGTGAGTAGAATAACAGAAATAATTGATATGCCTAATTTTGGTCAAAGTGATGAAATATTTGGAGTTTTATATGGAAAGATTGGTTTTGATGGAGCATCAAACCAAAGTATTTATAAACAGAAATACGATACAAGCAACGCATGTATAGAACTTAACCATGAAGAAAATCTTTTCAGTACAGCTTTTGTGTCTTTATTGCTCAAAGTAGAAGATGGCGAAATTTAGAAAAATGAAAATCCTTCAAGCTGTCACTTTTGAAGACCTCTTCATTTACAATATAAAAAAGAGAGTCCAATTTTATCCAGAGAAGAAGAATAAGATCTAAAAAATCAAATAAATACTTTAAAGACGTTTTACAAAGTTTTTAATATTGCAGGAAGAATTTTGACATTTAATATCAGCAATAGGATTGATCTTACAATGTTTGATGATAAAGTAGTTAGCGCACTTACAGAGACAAAATCCACTCATCCTGCAATGTGTGCAATGCTAAACCCAAAGAAATGAACAATATTGATTTATTAAAAGCAAAAACTGAGAAGACTCGGCCTTGGGGCTTGGAATTTCAGCTTTGCATTGCTGGATAAAATGCTTGGAGTTCATTCTTCATTTGAGTTATAAAATTAAAATTAAAAAGTATAAGCCAAAAACAATTGAGGAAAAACTATCTGTAGACTTAAAAAAAAAGAGATTCAGGTACTCTTCAGAGAACGGTTAAGCCTATACGTTGATATGCCTAAAACTGGGTCTGGAAACACAAATGACGGCAACTCTGCCAGAAGAGCATTTAAAAATAGTAAAGTTTTTTCTGAAATTACTAAAGTTGATTGTGATATAATTAAAAGATTGCATAATATTCTCATAACCATGTCTTGTGGATATCTTGTTAATATCAATGAATTAGATTTATACTGCACTGAAACAGCTAAACTTATAGTGAGTTTATACAACAGGTATGTTATGCCTCCTACTGTACATAAACTGCTACTGCATAGTTCTTCTATATCAAATAAATTACCTTTGCTAATCGGGGTATATTCGGAAGATGCACTAGAGAGTTTAAATAAACAGATAAGAAATTCTAGACTTAAGCACACGTCAAAAATATTAAGATTAAACACAATGATGAATCAGACGCACTACTTTCTAGTAAGATCAGATCCAAAAATATCAAGCATATCTTTTAGAAAACATAAGAGCTATCGAGGTTACCAGATGAAGTTTTTAAATTAATTGTAATGTAAATAATAAATTTAATGTAAAAAAATACAGTATTTTTTCTCTATGTATCAACATCCTTTAAAAACCATTTTTATAAAAATATCAAGTAGAGTAATATATCAAAATTATGTGTTTGTCTTGAAGATTTTAAAAACTAAAAAAAAAAATTTTGTACACGTATAGTCACCTTTAACACGCGTAAGCGCGCATTTTACGCGTCGAAGCTGCGCGTTAAAAAAAAAATTATTAACAAATTTGAAATCTTTGATTTAAAAATTATTATTTTAATATATAACATTTGTTTACGATTTATGTCAATTTTTATTTAATTTTTGCGGTTTTTTGATTGTCCTGAGTCACTGTGCAACGTGCTGTTGAAGCCGGATTGTTTTCTCAACGCCCTGCAAAGAAACCGCTAATTTCACTAAAGAACCAAAAAAAAAGAGTCCTGTTTGCAACACCTCATATTGACTGGAATGTGCAGAAATGGCGAACTGTCCTGTTCAGTGATGAATCGAAGTTCAACATCATTGGCAGCGATGACATTTGCCGTGTACGTCGACCGGCCTGAAAACGCCTCGATTTAAGTTACTGCCATAAGACCGTAAAGCATGGTAGAGGCAATGTAATGATCTGGGGGTGTTTTTCCGTTAACGGTCTAGGTCCAATACATCGAAACGATAGAATAATGGACCGTGTCATGTGTAAAAACATCCTGAAAGATGTTATGTTACCTCTTGCTGAATAGAATATGCCAATAAAATGGGTTTTTCAGCATGAC